CGATCCAGCCTGTCCAGATCCCTCTGCAATGTGAGGATGTGCCATCATAATCAGTGGAATTTGGTTGATGGTGATGACTGACTGTAACCGACAGCTGGGCTCAAGAGAGGGAGCAAATGGGAGTTTTTGGGAGGGATCTGAATGGGAAGAGTGGGATGAATCTGCACACTCCTCTTGGGTTTACCTCCAGAAAGCTGCAAAGATGTCATCAGCGGGAAAAATCAAATGACAACCACCAGGTTATTATAACAGAGAAACACAGTAAAAGTCAGGTGATCAAAAATACATAACTGATGCAGGTGTCAACAACAGTCTGTCTGCAGTAGAGGAGTCATCAGAAACATCAGCAGAGAACTGATTTGGTAGGGCTTGCAGTTCTGGAGGGCTGTTTTAAGATGGACTGGCTGTGGTTATGTGGATGTCAAAAAAGCAGAAGGCTGAAGTGGTGAACTCTGATCATGATCAGAACGTAGAGGGGAGTTTTAGAAGCCAAGTTTACATACTCTCTAGGTGTGCCCAAGTCTTACTGCTTCTCCAGAACAAGGAGGCTGTTAGAAGAATGAGCCTCTGAGATAGAAGATAGAGATAGAAGAAAAGCACAAAAAAATCCTCCATAGGTGTAGAGTTTTGTGTGGAACCCGGAGGGGTCATAGTGATGTTCATCCTCTGAAGCAAGTCCACCTGAATGCAAATAAGCAGTTTTGTTCAGATTTTATAGTACTGTAAAACCAGTGATCTCAAAATTAGCACTTCATAGTAATGATCATTTTCTGCCTGACTCATGTGTGGGGTTTGTTTTTGTGGTTTTGTTTTTGTTTTTTATCTAGGCTGACTGTTCTTTGGAGATGGTGTGATGAGACAAGTAAATAACCCTTAAATTAAAGTTGCTAGAACAAAATAAATTTCAGGAGTATGACTTAGACATGCACAACTCATTTGAGATCTTTTCCTGATGTCTAGCTCACTATAGAAGAATGTGAGGACTTCTTTAAGCCCCCAGTCTTTGGAACAGTTACTCATGTGCCTAGAACTAAGCACGTGCTTGTCCCCGTTAATTGAAGTCTGTGCTCGAAATGAACTGTGTGCTTAACTGTTAAATGGGCTTGTGGTCTCAGCTGTGTTACTTGGTGCCTGTGCGGTGGTTTGGCAAAGTCTGTTCTAAGCATGTGATCAAACCCTTGGAAAGCATGGCGCTCTGTCAGTTAATGACTCTCAGCCAAACCAGCGATACGGATACCGTATTACTTCATGGTGGTCAACAATGTTTTCCTGTCAGCATGCCATTTAGTGTGTGCACTGTCCCTCAGTGGTACCACTTTGTGTTTAGGTTTTCAGATGTTGGACCTGATGCCTTTCTGTACTGCTGGATTGAAATGACAAAGATTTTAGTGTTTGGGGTTTTTTTAACTGTCAGCTTGTCTTTTTTCTCTGTGATATCTCACCCGATGCTGCTTGTTAGATGCTGCCTGCATTTTCTAAAAACAGTTTCACAAAAAAATTCAGTATCTGTCTGTTATCTTCCCCCACTACCCTGTTAAAAAACCAAAAGGTCTTCACTACCTTGGAATGAAACAAAACCTTTGAGCAATTGCCTATTGACTGATAGAGCAAAGTTAAAATAACTGAAGTTGAAATAACTTAGGAGTTCTAACCGTCTTTGGCAGTAGAAGAATGTATGTTCTGTCACCATTTGTTGGCATGCTCTTGTCCAGTATGGATAAAGAAAAATAAATTGAACATCTCTTGTATTTTCTTAATTGTTAGCCGCTTGGAAAATTATGGGTCAGGTAAATTGATAACCCTGTAAGTATTATTCAGTCCACAGTTCTACTGTTACCTTCATTCAACTGCTTTAAATGCATGAAGGCTCAGGCCGGCTGGTTCCACTGCTGCATTTTTCCATTGTCAAAAGTATAGAAGTTTTGGTCTCATCAGGGCTGCATGGCTTTACTTTGTTTGGCTAAACTGTTTGGATCTCCATGCTCGAAGACTTGAATAACGCAAACTTCATTCATGGAAAAGCGAATACTTTGTGTACAGTTAGGGCATCACTTGCCAGCTCATCAACATTCACTAATTGTACCTCTTGCTTTTCACAGCTCCTCATGTTAGATACACCAATTAGGCAGTGTGCGTGTTTTGTTTTGTTTTTTTTCTCTATGGCATTGTATTCTGTGAACGTGTCAAGGCTCATTATTTAAGAATCTATACATGCTTTAAAGTGAACAGCAGAATTATTGCACTAAGAAATGTTTGCTCGGGATTTGAGCGCTTGTTTCTAAGGGCTTTGATTCATGAGCTAAAAGGGCTAAGAGGGTTGCTGCTCCTAGCGTACATGCAGGGCCGGGACAGCTGATAGTCTGAAATAGCTGCATCTCAGAATGCAGTGATTTAAGGGAAACTATCCCAGATTTTGTTTTGTCAAGAGAATGTTGGGCTGTAACTTTGTGCTGTAAATAGCTTGTGAATCAGAAGCCTTGAGCAGCTGATTGCTGCTTTCTTTCATTCAAAGGAAGGTGAGTGGGTTATCAATGCTCCATTTGTTTTATTTTCTAAGTCACAGTTGCATCCTTTTAAAAATGGCTTTTTTCTTTGTAAATAGTGTAGTTTCTTTGTGTAAATAGTGTAGGTTAAATCAGCGTGATTTTTCCTTTGACTAGTAGAAAAGCTTTTGTCTGTAATCTCAAATTTGGGTTTGGATTGAATTGTGGATTTTACAAAGACAGAACTGACAGTTAACTAGAACACATAAATAATTTCAGCTCAGATTTGGGGACTCCTGACCAAGGTGTAGTACCATGTTGGCTATGTTGTGACAGAAGAACCTTCTTACATGTGTGTGACTGTAGAAGTCCTCTAATTCTTTAGCTAAGATGTTTCAGTAGGTTTGTTGTCTATAGTTAGGTTCTAAGTCCACTTAACTTGAAAGCTTCAAAAGGCATTGGGATATTTTGCCTCTAACACTTGGAGTAAGAGAAGAAATTTTTTTCTTCCCCTTCTCATGGTGAGTTTTGGAACTGGCAAACAGACAGCACTGTTTTTTGAAGCTCTGTATGATAAGGAAACAAAGGTAAGTTTCCTTTGTGACTAGGAACAAAGAGTTACTTGAAGCAGTTTCAAGTTGCTAAAACTAATAATCTCAGTGTTCATAGGAGTAGTAATTGCCATCTGGAACAAAAAGGTGGAATGTGGGTTTTTTATCAAATGTAGAGGGTTTATTTTTCTGAAAACATGTACCTTTGATGCAAAATATAGGTATTTTAAGGGTTGAACTGAAAAATCTCATCTTTTGCATCCAAAAATTAGCTTGGGAATGCAGATGCTTACGTTCGGATAAATTGGTGGAGGCGGAGGATATTAGATGAAAATGGCCAGTTCATATGGGAATCATCTTGAAATTAGATGCTTCTAATAAAACAGGGCATCAAAGATATTACTCATAAAGTCTTCCACTTTTTGTGAACTCTTCATTACTCTTTGTGTACTCAATAAACGTTGGGAGTTGATTGCTGTATTTAGCATTTTGCCTTGCCAAAAGCACTTGCTTGTATCTAAAGTTAACATGAGGAAAGAAAGAATTAATGTGTAAAACATAGAGCTAGAAAAAGTTGAAAGTTAAAGCTAGTATTTTTTGTGAGGGTTGTCTGCAGAGTGGCATCTGTGTGGTTATTGATCTCTTCCTGGCATGGAAAGCTCTAAAAGGTAGGTAGAACCTGACCTATTAGTAAGGATATACATTATTTGCACATAGAGATGTTCAAGAAACTGCTCCGACAGACTTGTTTCAGGTCAGGCTCCTTTTAAGCTAACACTTGTTTGCAGTCTGTACCTCTGGGTGAAGCGTCTGGCAGGCATTGTAACTTGAATGCGCTATGACATATTATGTGACCCGTACTGCATGCCTTTGTTTATACTATCGTACTGCAACAAAACTAGACTTTTTTTTTTCCTCTTCTCTAATATAGATTGGGGGGTGCTGCAGTCTTAACGTCTTTTCTGTACGTGACAACAGATTATCTCGAATTCCCTCTGAAATGTCACAAGCCACTGAACTTCATGTCCTGGATGTTGCTGGAAACAGGTAAGAGATTTTTGTGTTGTCACATTCTTTTGCTGGTTTGACTTAATTCTTTCTAATGACAAATGACATTAGGACTAAGAATGAAGTAACAAAAAACCAATTATGACTTCTGTGTTAGCGTTACTGTTGAAATTGTGAAAGTAGCCTTCCCCCTTGGCCGAAAGTAGCATAAATTGTGTGTTGTCATGAGTATGTTTTCTGGATTGCTTTGACCCTGAGGAAAGGCTAGGCTTTAAAAAAAAAAAACCTCTGGATTTGTATATTTCTGAATTAAAACTGAGAATGTAGGCAATTTGGTAGAGCTTCAGCTGAAACTACTAGGCTTAGTGTCAAATAACACTGAGTGTCTTATCTTAGAGATACAGTCCAAGGAACAAATAATGCCACTTTGACCTTGTGGCTTCTCATGACTCTTAGTTGGTGTGCTTCAGACATCAAAATGCAAGAAGGAATAGATTGAAGCATAAACCAGCAAATTAGTTCAGTTGCTTAGTAGGAAGTTAAATGAAAAAAAAACCCCAGATCTCCAAACAAAAATGAAGAAAAGCAAATGGCATCTCATCTATGCAATATAATTGTCTCATAGACACTGACATATTTCTGTTCTGGATATTGTTTATGTATAAGGCTCCAGAGTAGAAGCAGCTGTCTGCCTTCCAGCATGTTTTACTGCAGTAGAAAAAGCTCAACCTTGTTTTATCTATTATTCACAGCTACAGTGAATTATGGTATAAAGTTGTAGTTGGAGTATGGTATAAAGGAGTAGTTGGCGTTGATGACTCCTGCAATGCCTTCTATTATAGGCATTAATCTCAATCCTGTTTATTCCAACTCAGGAACATGTACTTAAGAGTCGACTTCACGACCATCTATTAAATCTCTTAGAGATTGCCCTGACTTTTTTACTTTTCTTTTTTGAACTAGGCTGACGTATCTTCCCCTCTCACTGACTACCTTAAAGCTGAAGGCTTTGTGGTTGTCTGATAACCAGTCCCAACCTTTGCTGACGTTTCAGACTGACACAGACCCCGAAACAGGAGAAAAGATTTTAACATGTGTATTACTTCCTCAAATGCCTTCTGAGCCTGGTTGCCAAGGTAAGTGCCTAGAGTCAGTTTTTCATTACATATAGAAGGATAACTTCTTTGTTTACTGTGCTGTCTGTTCTATAAAGGTTTGTAAAACGTGCGTAAGCTTTAATGAGCGAAGTAGTAAAGTTCTGGTTGAATTTTCACTGTTAAACTACTCTTTTTTTTTTTCTTTTTTTCTTTTTTTTTGGTAAGTGTACTAGTTTTCAGAAGACTTGAGAAACATGGCTGTGAGTGTTACTGAAAATACAATGACACCAGCTACAATAAATAAAATAGAGACCTGGAAGAAGAAGACTTAATCATATCATTATTCTGAGGCTTGCCAGTGGGCCAAGTAGTGGTGTTCATATTTGTGTACATTGATAATACATCTTAAATACATATATATGTAGTGAAAGTTGGTGGCTTTCCAACTACAATCTCTTTACCAGAAAAATAATTGCATAGCTAGTAATAACCAGTAGACATTTTACTTTTCAGCAAGCTAATTTTCTTTTAAGCAAAGATGCTGTACAGTAACTTTATTATATTATTCAACAAGTGTAGAATTGCAGTATAAGTTGCTTTTACCTTTTGTGCTGAAACTTGCCTCTGGGTCAGGTGGGACCGTAAACTCTTTTTCACTGTTGGCTGGGTTGCTGCTCCAGTAACTTCTGGATGTTTTTTGTCCTCAAGCTTTATAGCAATGCGTGAACATTCAAGGGGATTCATCTGAGCTAATATTTAAACTTTTGCTGTGATCACTGAGGAGTAATTTATCCCGTCCAAGTCTAGACTTTTAAAAGAAATTATGTGGATTCTTTTCCACTGAATACAAAGGGGGCCTGAGGATAAAACCTTAGCTGTGGATATCTCTATTGTAGGTACGCAAACTTACCTAGATTAATTCTGCTCTTTCAGTACTATGAAGCTGGAGCAAATAGAAACCATTAAAGCAGCAGAAGTGTAGAAGAGGCTCTGTTTTGTGTCAGCTTCTGGATTTCAAGAATACAAATTGCATTAAGAACTAAAATAAGTAAATGAATTAACCCCTTTAGATTTAGAGAAGAGGAAGCTAGCTCAAGAAGAGTAACTGCGGTAGACTATTTTCTCTAAAAGTCTCACTACTAGATATTAGATTTCCTCCTCTCCAAATTAATCTCATGGCTTCAAGGGTAGAAGGCTTGGAATTAAGATTTAGACATGTATCCCTAGCAATACTAAAAGGATGAGGTCAGTAAAAAGCAATGATCCCGTGTTATGGAATGCCATTTAGGGAACTGGCTAATGTCAGATGGCAGCCATGATCCAGAAGAAAAGCATGTATAGTGGCAAGTATATTAAATTATATAATCAGTACTCTAAAACTGCTACAAACCTGAAACAGTCCAAGTACAGAAATTTCTCATTTATACAGAAACTATTTATTGTGTGTACTTGATAACAGAAAGTTAATGCAAGTTCTTTTTTCTATCCAAAAAATAGAAATAGCCGGTTGTAAATCTCAGATGAGTGCTTGGTTGCGTATTGCAGTTATTAACAATACAGCATGTTGATGTTCTAGACTTGCTATGAATCTTTAGTTACATTTTGCTGTTCTAACAGATAACCTACCACGATGTGGTGCACTGGAGAGTTTGGTAAATGAAATGTCAGATGAAACGTGGAATGAGCGAGCGGTCAATAGAGTCAGTGCAATTCGCTTCTTAGAAGATGAAAAAGATGAAGAGGATAATGAAATGGTATGTTTTCCAAGCCTTTGGATACCTGCAGACCCTGTGACTTTAATGCAAAAGTGTAAAAAGTGTCTGAGCTCTCTTGCTGTAAATATTTCATCTGTGGCTGCATGCTTTTTGCATATGTTTGTAGCAGAAACTGTTCATGTTGACTGCTGAAACTTTTCAGAATGACTTAAAAAGCTTCTTGTTTGTTTTTTTGCTTTGAATATAACTTTTGTGTTCTGATGCAGGACAGCCTTTGGTTTGCTTTGTTTACCTGTGTCTGCTCGGGATGTTTTCTTTCCAGAAACAAGATAGGATCTTTCTCTGCATCTGTGAAGCTTTGCTGCCTGAAAGCATATAGGGTCTAATATAGGATTCCAGCACACTGGCATGTGTCTCCATTAAGTTTGCCATTGTTTGTCTCTCAAATTTCTATTTCCAGTCTCTTTCTTTCTCGCTCTAGTTCTTCTTTTTCCTCCACTCTCTGCATTGAAACAACCATAGTGTCCATAAACAGCAAGAATGTTGCTCATTAGTTTCCCACTTAAGCAAAGGATGTGGGAACATCTGTCACTGTACTTATAAGACCTCTCCATTAAGTTGGACTCTGCATGTCCTGAAGATCAAAATGCAACGTGATCTTTAGCTTTAGTAACTTTCATTAACAATTAAAACTCCTTGTAAAGAATAAGACTGCTTCAATCAGATTTTTAGTGCGCTTCTCTGATGCTCTAAAATCTTTCTGGTGGTCCTTATTAGAGCTCAGCTTGAGGTGCTTCAGGGCACTGTCTGGGTTGTAGAACACTAGAAACATGGTCTTAATTTAAAAAGTGACCATAAAAATTCTTAGTTAGTAGGAAAATGAGCATTTATGTTTTTAAGTAAGATGGTTGCTTAATCCAAAGCAGCAGAGACTAAATGTCTCTGACGAGTGTTTTTCGTACACTGACTAATAAAGGAGTTCAGAATTGATCCTTCTTAACAATGGTGCCAACCCGAGAATGTCCATACAATAACGAGGGCTCAGGTGTTGAAGATAACTGCTTTCAGTCATGGTATTACAACCTGACTTGGGACAAGAACCTTTTTAGGGGAAAAAGAAGTTTATGATCCTACTGGAGAGGAAGGAAGGGCAGATTTCCAAAGCAGTCTTGACCGATGCACCCATTTATGGGTCATCGGTTCCGCTGTAATCTGTACAGTTTACATGTATACCACTCAAAAGTAATTGCATATATATATGTATTATACTGATACATATTTGTGCAATTATTCTTGATGTTCTGATGGTCTCTAATCTGGACGCTAACTGGGGTTTTCTTAAATTTTGTTTTCCTTGTAAAGGTTTCAGCATAATGATGTTATATGTTCTTGTGTCTAAGATGGGAGAGAAATGCTCCCCCTTCTTCTGGTCAAGATACTTGTTCTTAACTGACAAGAAAACCAAACTCTGTGGTGGGGCTGCAAGGCATACAGAGCTCCACACAAACATGTATTTGACACTATAAAGAGATCTTGTGGGATTCTTTCAAAACCAGCTGAATGGGGTTTTTTTAATGTTTTTTTTTAAATGGGATCTTAAATCACTTGGATGTTTTTTGGGGGGGGGAAAAATCCCAACTATATTTATTAAAGGATCTTCACTTCATAACTTGTAATTGTACTTCACTTGAGTGGCTTTCAGATTAGTATGTCAAGAGAGGAAAAAATGTGCTCCTAGACAGTTCTTAAAACCACTTTCATTGTCTTCATAAACAAGCAGCTATGCAAATAACGTTCAACATAGAGCATCATAATTTAAAAAGGAAAAGGGGGGAAAAAAAAGAAAAAGATTGATACCTAATATTTGGTATGTAAATGCTTAAGCCTTGAAAGTGTGTGTTGTTTTTCAAAGAGACGAAGGCAAAACCACTTATTGCGCTGTTTATTTTTAGAGAACACTTCTAAGGCGAGCCACTCCACACCCTGGAGAATTAAAGAACATGAAAAAGACAGTGGAGAATTTACGGAATGATATGAATGCTGCTAAAGGACTGGATTCAAACAAAAACGAGGTCAATAATGCCATTGACAGAGTGACCACTTCTGTGTAGAGTTTCATCTCCAGGTTTTACCTCCTGTGTCTTCCCCTGCTGTTGAAATGTTCCTGTCGTCTTCTGGGACCTCACTGAGCCCCTTCTTGTTTTTAACCAGAACCTGATTCATCGTCTCCATATATGTGAAAAGTGCTGCCCACTGGAAGAAAGTGCCTTATTTCATCCAGGCAGTGAACCAATAATTTCCAAATCAATATTGTAATTTTAATAGTGCTAGGCTTTTTTAAGTATAATACACTACTGTATGCAGAATAAAATATTTTTGTCTTAAACACAGGGGAAATAATCCTTTTCTTTTCCAGAGTGCTGGGATATCTTTTTCCCAGTGGCTGGATGTGCTGGTGAGAAATATAGTTTTGTGGAAAATTGATACACTTTTTTATTTTTTTGGCAGCTCAGATGGTGTAAATTTTAAATTTTTGTATAGGACTTTCATAACAAGATGATGTATTTCATTTTTAAGAGAAAATTTATTCTTGAGCGGTACATATTTTAGTATTTGTGGAAGAGAACAAGTTTCCTGGACAAGTGTATTCATTTGTTTGTACCACCCATTGTGCCTTATTGCATCCTGTATGTCATATTAGTCTTAAATATAGCAATTCTCGAGGAAAGTGAGTAGATTTAAACTTGGTCTCCTGTTTTAGATATGTTTTTCTTTTCGGACAGTAATTTGTTGGGATTTTTACAGCAGAGAACTTATGTTTATATCATGGGATTTTAGGTCATGAAGCACAAGTGTTAGTTTTGTTGTAAACAGAATTAAGATTAAAATGACCAAACTGCTATTGTTTATTACATAATGCACTCACACTTTAACTTAGTTGTAATGAAACATCTTGTTTTGGATGCCGTGTTGCATTGCAGTCACTAGAAATTCATGCTTCCATTGTTCTTGGCTTTTGTTTTTTTTTTTAAATGTGCCATCTGTAAAATAACTTGAAAAACAGCACGATAGACTTTCAGAAGCACAGTGTGAAACTAGTTTTATGTATTACACAAGAAAGCATGATTCTTTAAAGTGCTTTGGTGGTTTTATAGAAATATATAAAACCATAATAAAAAAATCTTTAAAAGCTTCAGTAGATTTATTGTATCATTAAAATAGCAATTAAAGTGTGTAAGAATTAATACTGGAATTTACTATCATTGTTACTGTGTTGCACTTCCAGTGGTCCAATGCTGATTTCAAGGTCTTATTAAATCTGTGGGTTTTGGTTTGTTTATAAAGGTAAGTATTAACTGAGTTGAATTCAGTAAATAACAGTTTTGCAAAAGGCTGATAAAGATTGATTTTGGCATCTCAGAGTTCTGTATGTGCCATGAGCTAACAAAGACCACTGAGTTGTTCAGTGCAGGGACTTGAGCAGATTGAGTTCAGAGCCAAGATTTGATGTATTTAGCATGAGCTAATGCAGTGAACCCAAATTTCAACAAAATGAAAGACCTAACACTTCATTTATGGCTAACCACGTCCCTTCTGCTGAACGTTTCTTCCAGTAAGCGTTGGTTGTATGAGGTTTTCTGGAAGAAGATGGGAAAGGAGGAGATCAGGGAAGTCATAATAACTTCTGTGTTAAAATTAATAACTGCAATATTTGATAGGTTTTTGTAATTTAACTTTTTTAAATTTTGATTTGAAGCTTGCACAAAAGGCACTGCTTCCTTTTTTTATATTGAACAAGTAGGTATTGCAAGCCATCTGCAAATATTCAAATCTAACCTGGCAAAATACATTAATTTTTATGATTTCTTCTCATCCCAAAGATTCCTTCAAGGAATGGTCTCTTTACAGGAGGTGCTGCAGGTCGATAGATGTTAGGTTCATTCAGCGGTGGTGCAATTTCATTCTTCCCAAGACAGAGTTCTTCTGGTTGTTCTTGGCAAGCTACTGTTAAAATAAAACCAGAAAGAAAATGAGGTTTTGGTACAGCTGACTCTAGCCTTGGGTAGAATCTTCTTTTTAAAGCGCTTACTGGGATTGAGACAACAAAAGTCTAAAAATGTAGGCAACTCTGTGTCCAGAGTCCAAGTAAACCTTGGCAAACCCATTTAAGATGAAGATGAGGTCCTAAAAAAGACAGACCAAAGCCAAAGACAGCAAGACTCTGTGCTCTGTGATGACAGTTTTTCATTTGGAGGCTGTGGTTTGTTTTGTTTTTAGCATCTGCTCCAGATATAAACAGGAGAGCTCCATCAGCAAGATGAAATGAATGTGTAAAGCCTGGATTTGGGCCTTGCCCAACATGCCACCAGATAAAATAATTAA